AGAAGAAGAAGAAGAAGAAGAAGAAGAAGAAGACGAGGAGGAAGAGGAGTATGAGGAGGATGGAGTGAGTATTTGTATTTGGTCATGTGACTCAGACGCTCTGAGGGATTTTCCAAACCAAAGTGAAAGAGCTGTGAGCCAATCAGATCGTCGTCTGCTGATGACTCATGTGTCGCTAAGGAAACAACTTCACAAAGTTTCTCTTGTTTTGATCTCGACTCAAACAGAAGAACCTGGACATGGACGCCTCAGTCTCGGGGGCCTCAGTCTCGGGGGCCTCGGTCTCGGGGGCCTCGGTCTCGGGGCCCTCGGTCTCGGGGGCCTCGGTCTCGGGGCCCTCGGTCTCGGGGGCCTCGGTCTCGGGGCCTCGGGGGCCTCGGTCTCGGGGGCCCTCGGTCTCGGTCTCGGGGCCTCGGTCTCGGGGCCCTCCTCGGGGGCCTCGGGGCCTCGGTCTCGGGGCCTCGGTCTCGGGGGGTCTCGGGGCCTCGGTCTCGGGGGCCTCGTCTCGGGGCTCGGTCTCGGGGGGGTCTCGGGGGCGGTCTCGGTCGGGGGCCTCGGGGGCCTCGGTCTCGGGGCCCTCGGCCTCGGGGGCCTCGGTCTCGGTCTCGGGGCCTCGGTCTCGGGGCCCTCGGTCTCGGGGGCCTCGGTCTCGGGGCCCTCGGGGTCTCGGGGGCCTCGGTCTCGGGGCCTCGGTCTCGGGGCCTCGTCTCGGCCTCGGTCTCGGGGCCTCGGTCTCGGGGCCCTCGGTCTCGGGGGCCTCGGTCTCGGGGCCTCGGTCTCGGGGGCCTCGGGCCTCGGGGTCTCGGGGGCCTCGGGGGCCTCGGTCTCGGGGGCCTCGGTCTCGGGGCCCTCGGTCTCGGGGCCTCGGTCTCGGGGCCTCGGTCTCGGGGCCTCGGTCTCGGGGGCCTCGGTCTCGGGGCCCTCGGTCTCGGGGCCCTGGACTGTCTCTGTGTTGGTCCTGGTCACACTCAGAGCTGGAGTTCACATGTTTGTGTGACTCTTTTATTCTGAGTTTGTTACGTCTCCAAACTCTCTGCTCCACCTTGTGATGTGTGACCCTCACCCTGGAAACTTCTGTGTCTCTGTGAAGTCAAATGTATAAATCCAGTTTTTCCTTTAGATTTAAATGTTTTGTGATGTGAGTTACTCACATTTGTACCGAGTCAAATATTACATTTTATTTCCTGTAAAACCACATTACTGCGTTACAGCAGAAAGTAATGCACTACAGTAATTTATTACTTTTATAACACGTTACTCCCAACACCGTCTATACATGATACAATATACACACATATACAGGTTATACATTATACAAACTTTATATTCAGCTTGTACATTTGATAAACTTTATATACATATTATATATTTATACACATGTTCTATTCATTTGATAAACTTTATATACTTGTATTCAGGTTGTACATTTGATAAACTTTATATACATATTATATATTTATACACATGTTCTATTCAGGTTGTGGTCAGTCGTTTCAGTTTTTTTCCGTGTTTTCTCCACAGACTCAGAGTTTGGTTCAGGACGTGTGTTTAGGTTCAGACTCTGAGGACTGAGGCGCCTCCTCTGGACACAACAGGAACTACAACAACTACAACACTGCACTATTTAGGAAGAAGAAGAAGACAGAGTGAATATGTGTGTGGGTCATGTGACTCAGAAAGAGCTGTGAGCCAATCAGAGCGTCCTCTGCTGATGACTCATGTGTCGCTAAGGAAACAACTTCACAAAGTTTCTCTTGTTTTGACCCAAACAGAAAAAACCTGAAGCTGAACCAGAACCAACTCAGTCTGTTTCCTTCAGCTTCACACTGACACTGAAACGTTCTGAATGTGAACGTCTGGAACCGGATCTTCTGTTTAAAAGAACCGGATCTTCTGTTTAAAAGAACCGGATCTTCTGTTTAAAAGAACCGGATCTTCTGTTTAAAAGAACCGGATCTTCTGTTTAAAAGAACCGGATCTTCTGTTTAAAAGAACCGGATCTTCCTGTTTAAAAGAACCGGATCTTCTGTTTAAAAGAACCGGATCTTTTATTTCTAATTTATTTTGTGCATAAAAAAACAAACAGAACAAACCTGAAAACACGAAAAAAAAACCTGAAGAGTCACAATAAAACAAATGTGCATCTGCATGTTCTACCTGTTGTGTGTGTGTGTGTGTGTGTGTGTGTGTGTGTTGTGTGTGTGTGTTGTTGTGTGTGTGTGTGTGTGTGTGTGTGTGTGTGTTGTGTGTGTGTGTGTGTGTGTGTGTGTGTGTGTGTGTGTGTGTGTGTGTGTGTGTGTGTGTTTGGGGCAGAGTCACTTTTTCTGTTCGGGATAAAATATTTGATCTTTTTTATTTTTCTGTTAAACATTTTAACAGTGAGACTGAAACACACGACACGTTCTGAGTTTAGATTTGAAACATTTAATTTATTCAAATATATTTAGATTATTTTATGTTTTATCATATTATTTTTTTATATTATATTATGTAATGTTTA